GAGTCTCTGATCCGCTTCTGGCAGCAGGAAGTGTGTCAGAGGACAAAGTTCAGTTCTGTAAGCCGTTTAGTTTTAGTTTGTTTTTCTGCAGCAGCTTTAGAAGCTGCTGATCAGATCTGAACAAACCCGATAAATCTGCACCGTTTCTGAGCAGCTCTAAGATTTTAATTGTTCAACAAACTAAAAACTAAAACATGACAGGAAAGAGTGTAATCAATGACTTAATGGGTGGTAAATGACAGATTGTTCTAGTTTGAAGAGAAAACAGAAAAAACAACCTTGAAATGAAAAACCTGGAGCCTAAAACCAAAGAATATTAAACCATTAAACTGGAAGCTGCTTCTCAGGTTTGTTCCAAATATTTTTAAAAGTCAGTTTCTAGTTGAAGATGAGAAATTAAATCCTGTCCTGTTTTCTCTAAAGGTTCTGTTCACCATCTGTCAGCTGTTAATGTTCAACTCCTGCTTGTTTTTTTGCCACCATGTTGTGTAGCTTAGCTAAACTCCGCCCCCTGTAGCCGCATCAGTTAACCATTAAGAGAATCTGTTTCAGGTGTAAATGACCCACAGCTTTATTCCTCTGCTGCTCAAACATTGCCAGAAACTGAACTAAATTCATCCAGGAATTAAACCGGACCAGAACCAGAACCTGGTTTCCAGACTCCGGGGGGGCAGACGGACGCCCGGCGATGCTAATGGTGTTTTTTTTTTTGTGGTTTCTGCAGAGTAGGATGAACGTGGGCGTGGCGCACAGCGAGGTGAACCCCAACACCCGCGTCATGAACAGCCGCGGCATCTGGCTGACCTACGCCCTCGGCGTGGGCGTCCTTCACATCGTCCTCCTCAGCTTCCCCTTCTTCAGCGTCCCTGTGGTCTGGACCCTGACCAACGTCATCCACAACCTGGTAAGATCAAGGTTCTGACCTCTGACCCCACTAGAACCCGGTCCGCCTTCAGAACCCATTTTAATGTCAGCGATCATGCTGACATTAAAATGCTGTAGAAATATCAGCTTTAAAGTAAAAGGGAAATCATATTTAAATGTCAAATCATTTTGGCTTAAACATTTATATAAATGTTCTCTTTATCAGACCATATTGTCCCAAAAGTTAGAAAATTTCTATTTTGTAAAAAAAAATCTTAAAATCTGTGTTTTTTCCCGTTATCTTCTGCAGGCCAGTTAGTTCTACGTCAGCCTGAACACCTAAATTCAGCCAATCATATATCAACGCTCATCTGTCAATCAAATGTTTTCGGTCATAGCATCTTGATTCGTATGTCGGCCCTCATGGACCAACCGGGTCAGAATCAGGGCTGGATGTTCTGGTTCTGAGTTAATTCTCATTAATTCAAAAACCAAAAGATGGAGCCTGGATTTTCCACTGGATCTCATAGAAACCAGAACCAGAATTTTCCAGAACTTCCTTTAATATCAGAGATCCAGTTTTCTAAACCTTCAGACCCGGTCCGACGGGTTCTGGAAGCTCCTCCCACAGTTTGGGAAATCTAAGAACCTCCAGGTTCAGGCTGCTGTGCTGGAGCCGGATCAGAACCGCTAGAGGAGGAAGAGTAGGTCAGAATTCCTGTGAACCGGTCCCTGGTGCCAAACGGTACCGACCCATCATCAGAACCTCCACCCAGTCTGCTCTGATTGAATCGGGTTTTAGAGAAGAACTGACCCGTGTGAATACTTTCCTCCTGCAGGGCATGTACGTGTTCATGCACGCGGTGAAGGGAACGCCGTTCGAGACGCCGGACCAGGGCAAGGCGCGGCTGCTGACCCACTGGGAGCAGCTGGACTACGGCGTGCAGTTCACCTCCTCCAGGAAGTTCTTCACCATCTCCCCCATCGTGCTGTGAGTGACGGACCCAGCTCCATCAGAACCTCCGATAGCGGAGCAGCAGAACCTCCGCTCACCTTTCCTCCTCCTCTTCCTCCTCAGGTACTTCCTGGCCAGCTTCTACTCCAAGTATGACTCCGCCCACTTCCTGATCAACACGGCGTCTCTGCTGAGCGTCCTGATCCCCAAGCTGCCTCAGCTGCACGGCGTCAGGATTCTGGGCATCAACAAGTATTAACGGGTCGGAACCGGAACCGACCGCAGGACATGATGTGAATCAGTAACTTATGAGTATTTAACGGCGTTCTGGACCCGCGGGGACCTGGGCTGGCCCGGGTCGGGTTCTGTTGGACCTCAGTGACTCTCAGGAGGAGAAATGTTTACTCTGAACTGATCGGTACCTTCCTGGTTTCTCAGTAGAACCGCTCTTTGTTTGCATGGTTTCCCCAGCCGGACCGGATTGGACCGGACCGGACCGGACCGGTTCAGGCTAACGGTGTTTGTGGACGTTTGTTCTGGAATCAGCGGATCTCTGTTTACAGATGGAGACAGAAAAAAACCACGATGGAGCAGCGGCTCGGTTCTGTTGGGCCGCTGCCGGGTCGTCCTTCTGGATCCTGGTCTAATAAAATGTTTGTTCCCATGGCAACGCTCCTGGTTCTGCTTTATGGCACTGAACTCGCTGGTTGATGTGTTTGGATCAGAACCTAGACGGTACCTTCTATTTTTTAGGTGGAACGAAGGTTCTGAACGAGCGATCCGACCCGTTCTTCCCGTCACCGTCTGCTGAATATCGCAGAGGTTCTGTTGGACCCGATAAATGTGGGACTGGAGGTCTGGACTTTGACTAGGCCACTGTAGAACCCGCTGGTTGGGTTCGGTCCAGATGGACTTGTTTCTGGTCTGCAGAACCAGTCCGGATCTGTCGGCCGGTTCCGTCCTGCTGTTCGGTTCTGAGCGTTGACCTTTGAACTGTAGATCTGAACCTGCTGAGACGGTTTGGACCTCTGGAGGTGGGCAGGAGGAACCAGAACCAGCTGTTCGGGTCGTAGAATCTGATGGTTCTGATTAAACTCTGAATTTAAATCATTTTAGCTGCAAATAAATAAAAAGATCAGAAAATAAAAACTAAAACTTTATTTAGAATAAAAAAAGGTCCAAAGTTCTGGTTCTGGTCTAAGCGTCCCCCTGCAGAGCCTGGCACTCCCCCCTCAGCACGCCGCTGTAGACCTGGAAGCGGTGGTTCAGGTCTTTGTGGACGTGGATCTTCATCCTGGAGCCCAGGGCGCCGTGGGCCGAGCCGGTACCGTAGAAGACCCGTCCGATGCGGGAGTGGACCAGCGCCATGGCGCACATGGCGCAGGGCTCCCGGGTGACGTACAGGTCGTAGCCGGTGCAGATGTACGGCTCGGCGCCGCCCTGCGGCCCGGCGGGGGCGAAGCTGCAGGCCGGGTACCGGTTCTGGTTCCGGTACCAGCCCCCCCCCTGGCTCCGGGCCACCAGGTCGATGCAGACCATGACGGCGTGCAGCAGCGGGTGCTCCCCCCTCAGGTCGTGTCCCACGGCGACCACCCGCTCCGTTTCCGGGTCGACCACCGCGGCGCCCACCGCCTCCATGCCCAGCTGGGCGGCCGCCCTGGCGGCGGTTACCGCGGCGACCATGAAGGATGTCATGGCGACCCTCTGCTGGGGGCTGAACAGTGCCCCCCTCAGGGCCTCCGTCACCCGCTTGTCCTCGTGGAAGGAGGTGGGCCAGAAGCTGCTGGCCTGCTGGTACTGAGGCCGGGTCAGCGGGGGCCGGGCCGGAACCAGAACCACAAACGGCCGGCCCAGTCCCTCCCAGCTGTTCCCGTCAGAGGGCAGGAGGGAGCCAAGCTCTGCGGCGTCCGCGGCCTCGCCGCTCCGGCACAGCAGGACCTCCAGAGGGTGGGGGCTGTTCTGGTCCCGGGCGGTCCGAACCCGTTTGAGGTGCTGCAGGCCGTCCAGCGGGAAGACGGCGTTCAGCTGCCGGACCAGCCGGGACGTCTGCTTCCTGTCCAGGACCGGCGCGGCGTAGACCGCCACCAGCTCCACGTCCGCCGACTGCTCATCGGACAGAACCGGCTCGGCCACCCAGGAGTCGGAACCGCCGCAGTCGGACCCCTTCAGGCGCTTCACCTGAGGCTCCATGGCGGCGCCGTCCTCCTGCCACAGAACAAACGGGTCAATCAGAACCAAGCGGATCAGAACCACAGCAACCGTTCTGGTTCCTAACGTCTCCAGAACAAAGACCCTCACAGGTCCGGTTCTCTACACGGGTCAGAACCTCCAGAACCTGGAGGACAGAACCAAGCAGGGAAACGGGTCTGGAATAACGACCCGATAGAAAAGAATCTTCATCCAGAACATTCAGATGATGATGATGATGATGATGAT